AGTTTAAATATTTTGAATTTTTTGTCAACTTTTCATGTTTAAAAAATATTTTTTGGGATAATTTCAGATATTGGTTACAATCCAATCCAAACTGAATTGAAAAGATCAAATCGAATCCAATCCGATAATTAGTAAAATTCAAATAGGATTTATGAGAATAATACCAAAATCTGAAAATATGTCTCAATCAAACCAAAACCGACGAAGTCTCAAACGTCCAGACCTATGATGATTTAAGATACCAACATTTGTATTCATCATTTTATAATCGATAAATACTGTAGTATTGCAAAATGTTAAAAACCATTTAATAAATAAATATTAGTATAAAAATTTCACTCCGCGCATGCGCGCGGGTTATCATCTAGTACGATGTTCTTTTTGGATAAATAACATGAGATATGTAATACTTTTCATCATGCACACAAAAAAATGAAATATGAACATTGCATACACCTCATACTAGAATAAAGATATTGGATTAATGAAACATTGAACCGAACCGGAGGACTTCTAACCGTACCAAGATTCCGAACCGACGATATATGTAGTAGACGATTAAGTCTTTGCTCGTTTATTTAACTTCGTGTTTTGCAAAATAAGCGGAGAAGAATTGGTCCTCCTTGTGTTCAGGAACCAAACAAACATTGTTATTGAGTTATATTGCTTTTTGGAACCATGAAAATCTCTGGTATAATAGTAGCTTCACTGCCTCAAAATTAACCACTCATAATCACAATGAAGCTCCTTCTGTGTCTCCCTATATTCTTCATCTCTCTCCCATTCTCTTACAGCTGCAACTCAAAAGAGAAAAACACCCTCCTTCAGATCAAGAAACATTTTAACAGCCGGCCACTCTTCTCCTCATGGGATCCTCAAACCGACTGTTGTACTAGCTGGGACGGCGTCGAGTGCACTAACGGCCGCGTCACCTTACTCTCTATCGCCAAGGACGACAACCTCGTTGGTCCTATCCCGGACCAGATAGGCGACCTCCTTGAACTCAATACACTCGACATGAGTTTCTTGAATCTGACCGGAAACATACCACGTGCCATCACCAAACTCAAGCACCTAGACTTCATTTTCTTGAAGTGGAACAGACTCTCCGGTCCAATTCCTGATTACATCAGCGAGCTCAAAAACGTAACGTTCATAGACCTTTCCTATAACAAGTTCACCGGTCCTGTTCCCGGTTGGCTTACTCAGATGCCGAAGCTTCAGACCTTTCAGATCGATAACAATTCGCTAACCGGTCCTATACCGAACTCTTTCGGTTCCTTTGTTGGCAACGTCCCTAATCTCTTCTTGAAAAACAATAAGCTCTCAGGTATGCCAATATTATTTTTAATTATAACTTTTAGGTTATAATGTTAGATCTAAAGGTATATATATATTTGAAATATATATGGATCTTCAAAAATACAGAAGGTGGATGAATTTGTAATGTACAATGAAATCATTAACCCTACGACAAGATACACTAATTTAAGATTTCTTAAAATTAATTATTTTGAAGACCATATATATTATCAATTATTTAATCACCTAATTATTAATTGAGAAAATGACTAGAATATCACTAAAAAAATTTTTGTCACAAATATAGGACTTGAGAATAAAAATGATCAAAATAGCACTTAATATTTTATTAAATACATATTTTTACTTAATTAATCCTAAACTTTAGGGTTTTGAGGATAGGGTTTCAAATTTTTAAAAAATAAAAAATTTCAAAATAAAAAGTGATATTTTGATCATTTTATTTTTTGAGATCATTTTTTGTGATAGAAACTTTAAAAATGCTATTTGAGAATTGTCTTTATTAATATTCCCGCTGTTTTACATATGTGATCATGAAAGTTTTTACATTCAAAATTTATTTGGTTTATTTTGTTTATGAATAAAACCATCAACGACTACAGTTAGTTCAACCCGTAAAATTATACTGCAAAATATAAATGATCACAAACACTAAATTACATTTAAATTTTGTAAAATTTGAGACATCATTTAAACTATTTTTTTTAAATAACTTAAAATTAAGGTGGAGAGAGTATTATTATTGATAATTTAATAATTCATATTCAACAACATTGCTCTGGCAGGAAAAATACCGGAGTCGTTGTCAAAGATCGACTTTCAAGCAATAGTTCTGGGGGGAAACGGTTTCACAGGAGATGGTTCGATGTTTTTCGGAGAGAACAAAATTAGAACGGTACAAGTGGATCTGTCAAGAAACATGTTTGAGTTCGACCTCTCCAAGATTAAGTTCGGTAAGAGCATGGCTTTGTTGGATCTGAGCCATAACCGAATCTTCGGAAAGATTCCAAGGGAGCTGACCGAGATAGGTCTTCTTCAGCGTTTCAACGTTAGTTACAATCGTCTCTGCGGAAAAATCCCACATGGTGGTAAACTTCAGACCTTTGAACAATATGAATTCGCTCACAACCGTTGTCTTTGTGGGCCTCCACTTAAGAAGGCTTGTTAAGTTTGTTTAATTAATGGCGTGACAACAAATAATTACGTCTTATCTGTACGATGATGATGTGTTAGAATTATCACTGCTTATCAAAATGAATGGTTCCTTTGAAGAATTAATGCTGTTGTATCTTATGCTCTCTCTTTTTGCTCGCAAAAGTGGTGGATATCTTCTAGTATCCACTTGTTTGGCCGTTGTATTCATTACAGTCCACTATCAGCGTATATCTCTTTCACACTGTTTTCCTTTGACATAAACATAGATTTTAACACGTTTTTATTTTATTTTATTTTATTTTATTTTATTTTATTTTGAGAAGTGAGATGTAGTATTTTCTTAAACTAGATTATTCCGATCTCCACACTATGCAGTTGCGGCATTTTGTGACGTTAGACTAAAGTATGGAACCTGTAGTGCAATAAAAATAGTTCATTGTCACAAATTAAAACAACTGGAGTCACAATGCTCTGGTAGTGTAGATGAATATGATTGGTGTTGATAGGATGATGGATACATAAGGTATATGGAATCACTCGGTCTTGGAGCATCAGAAACGCATGGCCAGGCTCGGAAGTGAGATGGGTTACATCACGTGTCATCCTTTCTGCTGCACAACGGTGAGTTTCACAGGGAAATCATGACATGTCTCCATAGGTTTAGAGTGGAAGAAGCCAATAAGAACATAACTTCTTTTTAAGGGAAGGGGATCCTATGTAAATGTTGTAGGATTGGTTGCGCTTTCGAAAGTGGTAGGCTCTACTAATATTCATTTGCCTGACCATTGCATTATTGTTTTTTTGTCTCGACATATGGTCACTATTACGTTTGTTATATCATAAACATAGATTTTAACACGTTTTTGTTTTATTTTGAGAAGTGTCATGTAGTATTTTCTTAAGTTATTAGACCACCCACATTAGAGGATTTAAACAATTCTTAGCACTAATACCTATGCAATTTTTGCTAAAATATTAATAAAAAAATGGTAAACACCAAGGATCAATCCTTTGCTAAGGATTTTTTTAGGTTGATCCTTGGTGACATGGCATGAGTTTGGGCAAAACTATATTGATTTTTTCTTTGTCTTTTGCTTGGATATTATCTCCCTACCAATTATTGCTCGTTCTTTTACTTCAACATACGTTAATACAAATCACATTATCCAAGTAAATAATGACATACAAATCACATAATTAAAGAATCACAGAATATAGTAGAGCAGAGTTATTCATATTTAATCATTGTTGTATTTTCATTTTTAATCATTCTATAAATAAAATTTTATTCTTATATTTTCGAAAATTAAATATTATTTTATTCCTAAGGATTCCGGAATGGAAAACACCAATGGACATACAAATTGGATTAGGGTCCTTAACTATTCAAAAAAAAAAAAATTTAATATACTTAAGGATTCACTTTGGGGATACACCAATGTGGGTGCTCTTAGACCATCTTTATCCCGGTCTCCACACCGTATTCTAGAGGGTGGAGGGCCATGGTTGGAGAAAAAACGGGCTTCTCTGTTGCAGAATAAGCAACGTTTGCTGGGAGATTTTTACACTGTTTCGCGGACCATACGACGTGGCGACCCGCGATCAGTCTTTTTTAAAAAAAAAAGCGGATAAAAGAAAAAAAAATAAGAAAAATCTAAAAACCCTCTTATCCGTCTCTGCGATATTGATGGTCTTAGTCGTCTCACATCTTTCCATTACGTATTAATTATAGCACGTACTCTTTAAGCTCATGTATATGAAATGATTGTAGCATGGCAATTCATATTATTGTACTCACTATATGCCACACACACATGACACATTGGGTTGGTGGAGTGACCAATGCGTAAGGGTAAATGATTAAAGTGAGAATCAAAACAATTTCAACCACATGCATAACTTTCAAGTTTCAAATCTCAAAATAGTAGATGCATTTACCACGCTTGCCGAGTTACAACATTTATAGAAACGAATAATGTACCTTGGGACTAGTGTACAACCCTAGTTATACAAATTCAGTAACATTACACAGCTGTGTTCCATTTGAAAAATCTCTGTTATATAGTTAGCTTTACTGCGTCAAAGTAACCACTCAAATCACAATGAAGCTCCTTCTTCTCGCTATCTTCTTATTAATCTCTCTCCCATCCTCTTACAGCTGCACCTCAAACGACAAAAATGCCCTCCTTCAAATCAAAAAATCTTTTAACAACCCACGTATCCTCTCTTCATGGAATCCTCAAACCAACTGTTGTACTATCTGGTCCGGCGTCACATGCAATAACGGCCACGTCACAAACCTCTTTATCCCCCCCAGCAAACTCTCAGGTCAGATCCCTGACCAAATCGGCGACCTCCTTGAACTCCGTGGACTTTCTTTCAATTACTTGCCACATCTCAACGGAAACATACCACGTACCATCACCAAACTCAAGAACCTTGAACTCTTTATCATAAGGCATACCAATCTCTCCGGTCCAATTCCTGATAACATCGGCGAGCTCAAAAAAGTAACGTTCTTGGACCTTTCCGATAACAAGTTAACCGGCCCTATTCCCGGTTCGCTTTCTCAGATGCCGAAGCTTGAGAACATTATATTGGAACGCAATAAGCTAACCGGTTCTGTACCGAACTCTTTCGGCTCCTTTGTAGGCAAGGTCCCTGATCTCTCCTTGTCTAACAATAAGCTCTCAGGTAACCAATAGTATTTTTTTTTTTAATTTCCTAATTATAAATTTAGGTTAAAATGTTGGACTTATTACCGAGTAAAGGATTTAAATAAATATTAATTATTTTTAATAAACTAGCTAGCACTAAATTATACTCTGTTTCAATATATTTATGTTTATATTTCTAAAACATATATATTTCACATTTTCAATGTATATAATAATAGAAAATTGTAAATTTTGAAGACACTAATTGTGTTTACTGAATTTTGATTTACTAAAAGTTATGTGAAATAGCTAATCACAAAATAATATATTTATTAATATAGTTTTTAGGATGTGTGAAAACTATAAAACATGCAACATTTTGAAATATATATTTTTAAAGCTTAGTAAATCATAGTATTCAATAAGGTTGTCCTGGCAGGAAAAATACCGGATTCGTTGTCAAAGAGCGACTTTAGCGGAGTAGATCTGTCGAAAAACCGTTTCACAGGAGATGGTTCAATGTTTTTAGGACGGAACAAAACATCATCATATTCAGTTGATCTGTCGAGAAACATGTTTGAGTTCGATCTCTCCAAGGTTAAGTTCCCTGAGAACATACTTGATTTGGATCTGAGCCATAACCGAATCTACGGTAACCTTCCAAAGGAGTTGACTGGGCTAATAAGTCTCCGGCGTTTCAACGTTAGTTACAATCGTCTATGCGGACAAATCCCACGTGGTGGTAAACTTCAGACCTTTAAATCATATGAATTCGCCCACAACCGCTGTCTTTGTGGAACTCCTCTTAAGGCTTGTTAAATGGTGTTTGTGAACAAATAATTATGTCTTATCTTATGGTGATTGATGTGTTAATTATCACCGTCTATCAAATGAATTGTTGCTTTAATAAATTAATGTCAAGAGATTGATAATAATAATGTTGTTGGGACTCATACAAAAAGAAAAACAAAATGTTGTTTTCTACCAAAAAATAATGTTGTTGAGATGTTCGAAGTGTGGTAAATAGCGTTAATTACGACAAAACTATGATAAAGTTTCTTCTACCCTATGTTACATGGAAACGGAAGCGGAAACGTGGAAGCGGAATCGTATGGAAGCGCGGAATCGAGATTTTTAAAAAAATTAGGAAGCGGATACGTGTTGGAAGCGTATATCCAAATATATATAAATATAATAAAATTTTATAAATTTTTTAATTAAGAATTATATGATTTTAATTTAAACTAAAGCATTTATTCATTTATCATAATTTTAAATAATTGCATATTATAATTATGAAAATGCGAATAAATTAAGTTTATAAACAAATATTACTAATTAGTTATTTTTACATTTAATAAAGAGTTGGCACACAAAATTTGAATATATATATATATATATATCTAATAAAAACAATGCATACATATGATTTATAGTATTAGTATTAGTATTTACATATATATATTCTCACTATATATATTATTATATATTATAAAAAATAAAAAGGATTTTATATTTTATTTATTTATATATGATATTGTGTTTTTAAAATTGGAAGCGTGATTCCAAAGTGGAATCGTAAGCTTCCAACGTGTTTTCATATAGGATATTTTAGAAACGTTTTGGAATCGAGATTCCGCAAGCTTCCATAAGGTTCCGATTCCGATTCCGGTTCCGAAGCGGGAAGCGCATGTCCGATGAAGCTTCCGTGCAACGTAGCTTCTACCCTATCGCTGACGTTGATACAAACCACCACACACGTTAAAAATATGTTGTAATAAGTTATTCTAACAATTTTATCTTTGGTTTTGTCTTGTTTCTTAGCAAAAGAAAAAAAAGAAGATTTGGAGTATAGTTTAAATCCGTATTGAAAATTTCAATTTCTGTTAGAAACAAAATTATGTTTATATAGCTAATCTAGATTTGGATTTCAGTTCAGACATTTTACAAATTAGTTCAGCAACAATAGACGTTTTACTATCCACAACATTAGTCAGAGAGCATTTCAAACTTGAATCAAATATTATGGTATCTAATCCAATTATTTATAGATATCTAAAAAATGCTTATGTGCTTGGAAAAAATCATACCTTTGGACCAAGATTCATAGCTGATAAAATAGACAATGCGAAGCATTTGGCAGAGATGTGGAATGTGGAATGTGGAAACTGAGATGGATTTCTCCGAATTGCGTATATATCAAACGGGAAGAGACTTATTTGTTAGCTTAATACTCCCTCTATTTCTTATTGTTAGTAGATTAAGACAATTTTTTTTTTTGTTTCAAATATACCTCCTAAACGAGATTCACTAAACCTTGAAATCTTTTTATTAGTCCACCAAATATATGTTCCAAGTGCTTGAATATTTTCAGCGTACTATATAAGTGATGTCATAATTATCTACTCATCTCATATGGTATATATTATCTCCATTTCAGAGTTGTAAATTTTTCTTCCAGTTCAATATACAGTAAAAATTCTATAAATTAACAATACTTAGACTATATTATTTTATTAATTTATTGAGTTATTAATTTAGATAAATATATCATGTTTGGATTTTTCTATTTTATAGTATTGCTTTTTGTCAACTAAGAAAAATAGTTGATTTTACTGTTTATAAATTCATTACATCTTATAAATTTAACTTTCATATCATTTTATTATATTATTTGATGTATTCGAGATATATATCATACAACAAATGTGTGTGTTAGATATAGTTTTAATAAATATCATCAAAATATCCGAAACTCTTTAAAAATAGAAATAAACTCTATTGTGAATGTAAAACAAACAATGTAATGAAATTATTTGTACTTATAGAAACAACAAAGTATTAATTTATGCTTTTGGTGAGAATATATATTTACATGAGATTTTCTGAAAATAGTCTTTTATCAATTTGTGTTTTATTTTGATAAAACTAAACTCGACACTGGCAAAATTTATTAATTTATCGAATATTAGTTTATAGAATGTTATTGTATATTACGTCCACATAGTATATTATATCTAATTTTCCACAAAAAAAAAGACCATCAAGGAAATGTTATGTCAAGAAAATTTGTTCATCAGTTTTATTCGTTGCAAAGCGCATATCTTTATCTAGTATCCATGATATTTACAAGTTTACAGCTATTAGACTATTTTTGAAGACATAATAAATGACTCTCAAAAAACTTCTAGTGAGAGTTCTCAACTTAATTTTCTCAAAATATGAATATTTCAATTTTACGGAAAACCAACTCATAATATCTTAAAGGAG